TCATTACAAGCCTACATACATCACACTCTCATTATTAGCCTACATACTTCATGTCCTCATTATAAGCCTACATATAAAACACTTCATTACAAGCCTACATACATCACACTCTCATTATTAGCCCACATACATCACACTCTCATTATAAGCCTACATATAAAACACTTCATTACAAGCCTACATACATCACACTCTCATTATTAGCCTACATACTTCATGTCCTCATTACAAGCCTACATACATCACACACTCATTATTAGCCTACATACATCACACTCTCATTATTAGCCTACATTCTTCATGTCCTCATTATAAGCCTACATATAAAACACTTCATTACAAGCCTACATACATCACACTCTCATTATTAGCCTACATACTTCATGTCCTCATTACAAGCCTACATACATAACACACTCATTATTAGCCTACATACATCACACTCTCATTATTAGCCTACATTCTTCATGTCCTCATTATAAGCCTACATATAAAACACTTCATTACAAGCCTACATACATCACACTCTCATTATTAGCCTACATACATCACACTCTCATTATTAGCCTACATTCTTCATGCTCTCATTATAAGCCTACATATAAAACACTTCATTACAAGCCTACATACATCACACTCTCATTATTAGCCTACATACATCACACTCTCATTATTAGCCTACATTCTTCATGCTCTCATTATAAGCCTACATATAAAACACTTCATTACAAGCCTACATACATCACACTCGCCATACAAGCCTACATACATCACACTCTCATTATTAGCCTACATACTTCATGTCCTCATTATAAGCCTACATATAAAACACTTCATTACAAGCCTACATACATCACACTCTCATTATTAGCCTACATACTTCATGTCCTCATTATAAGCCTACATATAAAACACTTCATTACAAGCCTACATACATCACACTCTCATTATTAGCCTACATACTTCATGTCCTCATTATAAGCCTACATATAAAACACTTCATTACAAGCCTACATACATCACACTCTCATTATTAGCCTACATACTTCATGTCCTCATTATAAGCCTACATATAAAACACTTCATTACAAGCCTACATACATCACACTCTCATTATTAGCCTACATACTTCATGTCCTCATTATAAGCCTACATATAAAACACTTCATTACAAGCCTACATACATCACACTCTCATTATTAGCCTACATTCTTCATGTCCTTATTATAAGCCTACATATAAAACTTCATTACAAGCCTACATACATCACACTTTCATTACAAGCCTACATACATCACACTCACCTTATAAGCCTACATATTTCATGTCCTCATTATAAGCCTACATATAAAACACTTCATTACAAGCCTACATACATCACGCTCCCATTATTAGCCTACATACCTCATGTCCTCATTATAAGCCTACATATAAAACACTTCATTACAAGCCTACATACATCACACTCCCATTAATAGCCCACATACCTCATGTCCTCATTATAAGCCTACATATAAAACACTTCATTACAAGCCTACATACATCACACTCTCATTATTAGCCTACATACCTCATGTCCTCATTATAAGCCTACATATAAAACACTTCATTACAAGCCTACATACATCATACTCCCATTAATAGCCCACATACCTCATGTCCTCATTACAAGCCTACATATAAAACATTTGACAATATTCCAACATGTATCACGCCCTCATTAGAACCCTTCCTATCTCATTATAGGCATAGGTCTAAACAGGGCCCTAATATATAAGGAGTGAGTGAGTGAGTTTAGTTTTACGCCGCACTCAGCAATATTCAAGCTATATGGTGGCGGTCTGTAAATAATCGAGTCTGGACCAGACAATCCAGTGATCCACAGCATGAGCATCGATCTGCGCAATTGGGAACCAATAACATGTGTGCACCAAGTCAGCGAGCCTGACCACCCGATCCCGTTAGTCACCTATTACGACAAGCATGGGTTACTGAAGATCCATATTCTAACCCTGACCTTCACGGGTCTCATATATAAGGAATGACTGAGTGAGTATTGTTTTATGATGCTTTTAGCAATATTCCAGCAATGTCACAGTGTGGGACACCAGAAATGGGCTTCACACATTGTACCCATTGGGGAATCGAACTCGGGTCTTCGGCGTGAGGAGCGGATGCTTTAACCACTAGGCTACCCCACCACCTTTCATATATAAGGAACCTGGCACAGAGGTCATCTGGCTGATCCATAAAGTTTTCCATCCATCTTCATTGTATGCCATCATGGTACAGACAACAATGATGAGCCAATTCTATGGTCCCCAAAACAAGTACTATCTTCAACTGTAATGGATACTGATACAATCCATGATTCATTCCTCTGAGTGATTTCCCAGAAAATGATATTCTGCATTGCCTACCTCAGACAAACTAAAGATCCTTGATTTCTTTCAAATATAATAGTTCCTTAGTTGAAAACTGACTCAGTTTGGTTTAATGCCACACCTACCGTATATGACCATAGATATGCCAAATATTGACGACCTAAAAAAGTAGTCAGTAAAAGGGCGTCGACTTATCTACAGGTTACACTTTCATCAAACTTTTTTCTGGTGCTAAGAAAAAGACATCATATCACTTTGCGTAAACTGATAGGAGAAAACAACTTTGTCATTGAAGACGTCAAATTTGCAATTAAACATCGCTAGACAAGATTATGTAGATTGCAGTTATAATTTGTTTTTGCTAGGCATTGTATTTTATGCAGGGATTAAGATTACCTTGTGTATTTGTCTCATACACAGAGCCGGAAATAGCAATCAGCTGTGCACACGTTTCCCCGCGATCTACCAATGATTTAGTTAAAACATACCCAATAATATAACAAAATGAATTCTGAGTCAGTGATCGGAAAAATAGAGTATCTGAAACTGTTTTTTTACCAAAAGAAATATTTTCTATCATTGTCTCATTATTGTTGCAGGTTTTGCTCTGTAAGTGTATGTGAAGCCCATTTCTGGTGTCCCCAGCCGTGATATTGCTGGAATATTGCTAAAAGCGGCATAAAACTACACTCACTCACTCACTCTGTAAGTGTAAAATATTATGATCATATGCAACAGCACTTTTGTGTATTACTGGAATGGAACAATTATGCCAGTTATAACACAGCGTGTCAGCTTGATTCTGAGTTCAGCAAGCTGCTGACAAACCAAGTTTAAACATAATCAGGGAAAACTGGGATTCAAACTCACATTAACAGGTAGCTTTAAACAGTAACTTTTAGATATAATGAGATTTTCCTAACTAGCAGAGAACATTTGACCAGAAATGATTGAAATGTTTCATATTATTTTGCCCATCAAAATAGGTGTGTTGCAAATGTGATTCAAGGGAGAAAACTTTGAGTGTCATACGAAAAGCTCTGAACATCAACAATATCACTGTACTCTTGCCGAGTATTTTCACATTGTAAGAAGCGATTTTTATTGGATAAAGATTGGTTTCTAACGGCGCTTTTCACTACACTCTGCTTATAAGGGTTGTGATTGGTCCAAAATCAGACCATTGACCTAAGCAGCCAATCATATTATGGAAATGGATACCGTCCTCAAATTAAGCGAAAAGTTTTAGATTAAGGCCGAAAGTTTTGGGTAAAATAATGCTATTCTGAACATATTAAGAAAGACATCGCTACCTATACATAAATCATGGAGCGTATTGGACATATCGTGCTAGGTTATGGCCTATGACAAAAATGCTTCCGCATATATTTTCACATTAAGCATCGTGTGAAAGCGAGATGTAACTTGTCAGTGACTTGACTTACATTGCATGATCGCTCAAAAGAATGGAAATAGTAATTTTATATGTACGTTTGACAACTTTTATGAATGTTATTGTTGATTTCAATTTATTTAATGATTTCCTCGATGTTTGAAACATCGTTACTTTGCTCTTTGACAATGCTATTGTAGACCCTCGCTGCGAAAGCATAAACAAGAATCGTTGTTTGCAATAACATTCGCGAAAAATAGTTTATAATTTTAATTCTGCCGATAATATATGATCAGTTGAAATTTAATAAGAGATTTCAGACATTTTTATTTGATTTAAACAACATGAATGTGCATTCAGACACTGCCTTGTTTCTTATTCAAACATCTTGTTAATGCTAAAGTGACAGTACGACAGCGAACTTCCGTGTGCGCAGGCGTCATAAGCGAACCTAGCTAAACCGGCACTCTGTCAAAACCGGCATTTTTACTTGGTCCCGACTGATGCCGGTATTGACAGAGTACACTGTACTTGTAAAGTATGGCCAGAGTTGTCTTCCTTGGTAACAATTGCAAGCTAGCAGACAACACACAAGATCACTGCAGAAAACTAAAGATAATTTCTGATACTTGAGGAAAGTAGGCCTCAGAAACTATTGGTTACATAAGGGAACTTTGTAATTTAGCATCTAAAAGGGATGCATGATAACAGAAAATAATATGCAAGAAACAATTAAATGAGGAACATCTGATAATTCTGAAGAGACAATAACAACACATTTGCATGCAGAAATCACCTGGAATTCCATCACTATGCCTATAACCTGAACAACAAGAACAACAGATCCAGGATGTCTACACTAAAACGTTAATATGAGTAGGCTCTTAATATCAAGAGGGGGAAATATCAAACAGAAACAAGACAAATTTGGGGAAAATGATAAAACTACATAAAATTGATTCTGATATATTAAAATAATTATCTAAACTGAATCCTAAACTTCAATTGCTAAATTCCTCTTAAATATCAGATGTCACTCTCTTTCTTGTCAAGATTTTTGTATAAAGTGTTCAGTTCATCGGGAACATAGTTCACTTCAGGAAACACAAGTCATGCAACAATGGGTAAACATATATAGTCTTCAAACAAACCAAGGTTCTGTGTATGAGAAATCATTGGTCTACAACCATTCCACAACACTGTCACAAGACAAATATGCTTACCAGGCTTCCTGTAAAGGTAGACTGGGTATGATGGCTCTGACGGGCCGTCTTCAGTCATGACACGAACTCGGAACGCATAGTCTTGTTTGGGTCGAAGTCCAGTGACCTGGTAGGAAAGGTCTGAGGTGTTGGGGACAAGAGTTCTCCAGTGGGGAGCCGGGAGTTCACGAATATCCAGACGATAACGAAGGTCCGTCGGAGGAAGGATGGAACATAGACTGGACGCCATGACACCCTGACAGAGTCACCATGAATATCATAGATCTCAGGCTTCTCCACTGGAACAGTGGGCATGACTGGAAGACAAGAAACCCCAAATAAGATCTTGCTAAAACAGTCAAACCTCAAATAATTATAGATTTGTTTTCACGCTCCATCTGACACAAGTTGCAACTAAATCTTCTATTCGGAGATCTGGTGTGTGTTTTAAGTTATTTCATAGCTAAATATCACAAATAACAGAGAGGGACATTGCTAACCGGTTTCATTCATGCTTCTTGTAACAACATGGGGAACTGAATTAGTCAAATGTCAATGACACAACCATGACTTTCTACAAATGGGACAGAAAGGGGCACTCTGATACTAACCTCTTCTAGGAGAGTAGGAAATAGGAATAGAAGGTGTGCTAAGACCACTATCAGTCTCGGCACGGATCCGGAACACATGATCCCGATAGCGGTCAAGGTCTGTCAGCTTGTACGATGGTTCGGTGAGCTTGGACACGTACGGCTGCCAATCTCGTTCTTTCGGTCTCCATGTCTCAATCTGATATGTCGGAGGTGTTTTCTCATATTCAGGGATCTGAGGTCGTTTCCACGACAGCCGCAAATTGGATGGTTCATAGTCTTCAAATTCTGGAATTTCAATTGGTCCTCGAATATCTACAAAAACAGACATACCTCTTTACTCCTGATGTGCCACCTTTCTGAAGGATGAAATGCACCCCAAAATGGGATACATATTGCCTCTCATGGTGAACCATGAGTGAGGGAAAAAAATGTCACCTGACCCTCCCAAAAAAACTGAAGATTAAGCAGGGGAAAATTAATAGTATCAGTTATGCAGACATGTTAGAAGACTGCTGACTAAGCAGGAAATAGCTAAGCTTATTTTAAGCACAGGTAAAAACGCCAAATTTGCGTTCCTTTCCAGTCTATAAAGAGACTATAAAGCATTTTAGCACCGACAAAACATTGACATCTGACAGCTGTAGCACACGGATGTCTCCTGGATCCTGACGGACACGACTATACTGCATTATGTTATTTTGGAAATTAATAAGCTACAGGGGAGTTAACTTTACCAAAGTTAGTTTTCTAACAGACATATTGGAAAGAGGGCACATGATCTTGTATTGTGAGGACAAGGTTGACTAAATCCTATAACTTAGATTTCTTATTATTCAGGGCAATATAGGGACACAAACTGAGATTCTGAGAAGGCACATATTGTTAAGAGATCAGAGGTATGTCATTTTTGCAGGTACATTTATTTCAAAATCACAACACTGCAATATCTAAAGGCAGTAAAATCGAGGTACGATGATATATCACTTTACTGAATGTAATATTAAATGTTTTGTAATTATTATTGCACAAAAGTTTAAAAATAAAAATCTTTTACTGATGTTTTCAGATTGCTTACAAATTATTATCAAGTTTTTTCAAAAGTACATGGATGATGATATATGCTTAACAGATCATGAGATCATTTCTTGTTTAAATTTTGTAATCATGAAAAGTATTACATGAGAGGACTATATCAGGAAGCAAGGCATTGGGACAGGCTGTGCACACTAACAAGGCAATAGGGGGTTTATAAGCAAATAAAAAATAAAATTCACAACACTGAGAATGTGAAATAAAAAATTTAAAAGTATATAATATCTAATATAACCCAAAAAATCAAAATAAGAAAAATCAAAATATCAAACCAATAATGATATGAATTGCATATATATACAACAACATATATAAGACTGGATCAATAATAAAACATCTTAGGTTTAGTTAAGTATCACCATAACATGTCAACTGTTACACTGAAAATGTTTCTTAATGAAATATCCACTTTTCTCACAATACTTTTGAAGGTGATTCTTTTCTAAATCTGTCAATGTTATGTTAGAGTTGACATAAGTGTAAACTAAATTTTAGACATATATACACAACAATCATTCTAGTGTTACTTTTCTGAACTAAAATACCACCCTTGTAACAATTATGTACACAGAAGTATGTTAAATATATGAACGATTATATAAGGGTCTTTACAATATTCAAGGGTTATGAAAACTGTGTTTTTGTCAACTGTGAGAAAGTGAGAGAGGATAAACAAGTGAAAACATGAAAGTATTATTTTGCACAAGGCAGTGCCTCAGTGAACAATGGGGAGTTTTCAAAACGTGAAAAATGTTAATAATTTTTTACAGTAGAAAGTGCAATGTTCTTTCTTCATGTGAGATTAACTATTGCTATGAAATATATTTATCACACCTCATAAAATCATAACACTAGGATATATTTAAGTTCTGAAAGTTTTCAGAACCACCTTTAAAAACTAATTGAAAAAATTTCATCAATAACTAATTTTGAATAATATAAACTTTTTGCAGGAAAAAGGTGAAAATATGCAAAGAAGTATATATAACAGCAGCTATATCTATGTTTCTATATGGTTTCCACATATATATATGTACCAGTATTTTACTACAACCAATCATTTGGTATTCTAAATAAGCTTTGTCATGCCTGGTATATAATTCAGCCTTAATATCCTTATCATCACACCAGTCTTGGGTATAGACAATACTTGTAAGAGTCTGAACAATATTGTAGATATCATGCTAATGATTCAAAGATATGTGAAATTCAAGTGATGTCATGCGAAGATAGAAAGAAGTGCCCTTGTCCCACTCGATATATCATAATACAGGTTATCAATTTTCTAAGAAAATTGTTCCATGTTGTAGTGCATGCATCTATGTTACCTTCCGCAATGTTTCTCAGCCTGTAATCTACAAACAAACCACATCACATGATGTCACACTTGACAAGAGTGTGTCAAGACATTTCACTGACTGAAATGAACAAGCATGTCAGTTCTATTCCTCACCTTCTGTATACCTGTCTGTGTTAGATCAAAAGGATCAAATTGAATAATAGGGAGTTTGTACTAACAAAAGGGAATCAAGAAATTTTATGTGACAATTCAGGTCCCTGTTCCACAAAGTGATCTTAACTCTCTGATGATCGTAAGCCTGTTAAAGGATGGGAGCTACCATCCCCTTAGCACTAAGATCGCTTTGTGAAATGGGATCATGTACAATAAAGAAATGATACACCATAAAAAATACAATGCACAAAAGTGTTTTAATTCTGCTAAAGTAGTTACGCCAGATCATTTCTATTCCATGCTTGGTGAATCCATATATGCTACACATCAGTTGCTAAGGACAAAAATAGTTCCCTTCAAAGGTGTGGACCTAAGCAAATGTTGAGTAGTATATGTCAAGATGCATGCCAATTACAAAATGAATATAAAAACATTTTGCATTAAAAACAGATGATTTGAAGCTAATAAAGAAAATCTGAAAGGGGTACTTGTTTAAATTTGAAAAAAGGTCTTGAATTACGTTAAACAATGCCATTAACACAGAGAAGTTTGAAATAAGTTCTCTTACAATAACAAGATAAAATTGTTTCTTAATCTTTTTCATATGAAACAAATGTGACGAAATGATCTGTCCTGAAAGCAAAAATCAATAACAACCTTTTCAAAGTTGATCCCCAGAAAGAAAGTTAACAGATGCAGGTCAGCACTTATTTGTTGCTCTTGTTGCAGCACAACAAGGGAGATAACCTAATAATATTAGTATTTACTCATAGTATAATCTTTGCTAATGGTAACCCCAAAAGAATACACTCTACATGGCCATTTTTAAAGGGAAACAAAACTCCAACTTTGAAAGCGTCTAAATATTCATAAATTGTTTCATCGAGGAATAAAAATTTACTTATCATGGATTATAATTTTTTACAGGGTTTATTTGTGTTCAGCGCTATTCTACTCTGCATGAAGCAACACAAAGAATCGAGTGAGTGTGTATAGTTTTAAGCCGCTTTTAGCAATATTCCAGCAATAACACAGCGGGGGACACCAGAATGGGCTTCACACATTGTACCCATGTGGGGAATCGAACCCGGGTCTTTGGTGTCACGAGCAAACGCTTTAACCACTAGGCTACCCAACCGCCCCTCAAAGAATTGAAGAAAGGAGAAACTGTCTATCATAACAAAGGGTATACAATTAAAGGTACAGTCAAACTGACATATGTTTTAGATGTTGATTAATGCATACAAGATTTATAGCATGAAGCTACCAGTATAAGCATAATAGTTCTGCTGGGCATAGTTCTATATGAACATATAAACATTGCTGTGTATGTTCTCGTAAACTAAGCCAGAAACTATCAATCAGCTAAATGTACAATTTTCACAAATCTACCAGCAATTTGATTAAAAATTACCCAAAACAATTTTGGTGAAATGATAAATGAAAGTCTTATTTGATCAGAAATTATATATCTCACTGTCAAGTTATTTTAATTGCAGCTTTCATTAACATATTAAACAAAATAACAGTACTTTGTAATAACTGATTGCTCTTGGCGGATAATTTCTATGAATGGAACAGTTGGAATGAATGGAATGGAATGATCAGTAACCATTGATTTTTCACATGTTCAGCAAATGAAAGAAAACAAAATGTCAATATCATAATGACATCCCAAAAAGATGTAATAATAATTAAACATGCACATTTACTCACATATACAAATTTGGAAGGTGAAGAAATTCGTGAGCATATGCCGTTCAAATATTGCAATTTGTTGGGTGGCTGACGCTAAATTGGCACTTGGTGATGACGCAGCTAATTAAAATAGTGCTGGTTGGACGTGTAAAAGTCGGACTTTAATTTCCCTTTGTCACCACAAGAGAGAGTACAGCCATTTAAAATTTAATCAAGTTACCAAGTTCATTTTAGCAGCAATTTAAGAAGTTGGAGAATATGATGAATATGGATTGTGGGGAATATGAGTGTCAAGTTCATTTCTTCTGAACAACAACTGGTGGAGAATCATACACACATATGAAACTCATCATTTAGACTGACATTACAGATTCATTCATAACTACTCACAACTAATATATCACCTTTCAATTTACTCAACATGATTGGAATTTTGTGTCTTTGGTCAAAATTTGTAAAAATATTCTTCCTCATTCATATCTACCCCACCCTCACCAGAAACAATAAAAAATATAAACCTAAATTCCTCTTTTAAGACTACACACTCACATCAACACTCACATACACCCACACATCAGCCCCCTCCCCCAAAGACTCAACCACCACATCCCACCCCATCCACCCCACACACTTTTCCTCATCCTACCTGTAAATCTTGGCATCCTTGATGGTTGTGTCGGAGAGCTCATGCCATAGTCATTCTCAGCCTGTATACGAAAAGCATAATCTCGGTCAGGGTTAAGACCATACACGTGGTATGACGTGTGTGGGATTCTCCTCACTAGAGGGCGCCAGTTGGTGTCAGGCAACTCTTGGAACAATATCGTGTAAGTCAGAGGAATCTGGTCACGTATATATGATGGCATGTCGGCTGGTCGCCATGTCATACGGACAGATCCTGGACGCATGTCCGACATAAATGGTTCTTCTTGGGGCAAGTATGGTGCAACTGCAATCAGAATTAAAATCATTTAAGAACTTTGAAAACAGTTGCTGAACTATCTGAAATAGCAAATAGAAAATGTTTGAAATATCCCACTGTGTCAAATAAAGGATTACAGAGATAAGACATAGATAAGAATGTTGCATTGAAATAACTCAAAATCAAAGCATCAACTCATTATGTAAACTATATCAAGACAAATACACTTTTACAGCAATCATCCAAACAAATCTCCCCATCAAGAAACCATTCATTTTAAATCAAAAGAGACATGATTTCCTCATTTGAAACAAAATACAGTGACCTCCTGCAATAAAAATAACAATCTTAACCAAACAATGTAGAATCTAAAGTGTCTATAACAATGTCTGTACCTCCTCGTTTCCTCACAACAACAGAATCAGTGGGCTCCCCGAGACCGTAGTCATTCTCTGCCCTGACCCTGAAGGTGTAGTCGCGGTCTGGCAGCAGCCCTGTCACCTGACTCTGTGTCTTCGGAATATTCCGTGTGTGAACCTTCCAGTCACCACCAGGAGTGTCAAGCATCTCAATACGGTATGTGGCAGGTGAGTAATCTGTGATACGAGCTGGAAGCTCCACGCTCCGCCAGGACAATGTGAGGGAGTCAGGCTGGATGTTGAAGGCATACGGCATCTCTCTGGGCATGTGTGGAGGGCCTGGATAGAACATCATGTGAATGTAAATCAGGGACACCAACATATGTTTGTATATACTGTATATTGTCATGTATAAAGCTACCCTGTGTATAAGGCAACCCCCCATAAAAGACCTTATATACACTGTCTATGAATAAACCCTGAAGGAAGCACATCATCAGCACATACAAGATCCCTATGTTTGCAATAAAAGCGTGTTTGTCTTCTGATGTATTTCATCAAGGCAAAAGGAGGAAGACGTGAACATCAATCCCATCTAAACATTCCGAGTATCTGTACTCAAACTCAAACTTTTTGCAGGCATAATTACCATGCCTAATACATATAATGTTTTAGTCAAATTTTCAGCTTGTTCCTGAGGTTGACAACTTTGGTTATGTACAAATAAAATTTCTACAAAGCAGTTTAGGGCTTTAAGACAATCATGTTCCAAAATCACTCTGTAGAAGAACTGATGTTTGTCATTCAACCTGAAGAGCAAATCAGCATTAACATTACCATACAAATTTCTTTACCCTGCAATACTACAAAACAGAAACCCATTGCAACCAACACAGAAAACTAGGAAAATAGATAGCTCAATAGTTCTATTCCTGTGAACAATATAATAAAATACTGATGAAAATTAGTGAATCTCTGCACTCACTTGCTCTGTGTGGTAAGTATGCTCCAGGTGTAGGTTCAGTACTAACGCCATCTCCCTCCGCACACACTCGGAACATGTAGTCGCGATCTGGGTTGAGGAATCGGGCAGTGTAACTGCTTCCAGGGATGTGGGTGGCAATAGGTGTCCATACTCCACCAGAGGGTTCCTTAGTCTCAATACGATATGTAACAGGAGTGGACAACTTGGCTCCGGCTGGAAGTGTCAGTGGTTGCCATGACAACAACACAGAGTCTGCGCAAATGTTGGAGATGATTGGCTCCCTTTGCGGCAGAGCAAGAACTGAAAAAACAAAAGTCCACATATTGTCAATGTTGCACTAGTCACTTGTAAATATTAATCAAGATATTACCAAAATTATGTTTCGTTGGCTAAACTTTTCCACCTTTAATTTTCTGAAGACAAACATTTTCATTTAATGATCCTGACTGACCTGGTCTTCTGTTCAAACGGAGTGGAATACTGGACTCTCCTGGACCATACTCAGTGTCTGGGCGGATCCGGAATATGTAGTCCTTGTCAGGCCGGAGAGCATTGACAGTGTACATTGTGTCCGGGATACGTCGGGCCAGCGTCAGCCAGGTGGAGCTTGGGGGCTCCTGCATCTCAACTGTGTACGTGATGGGTATCGGTTTGCGGGTGTACATTGGCAGTTCAGCTGGTCGCCATGACAACCGGATGGAATCTGGACCCATCTCGGACATGATTGGTTGTCTTATGGGCAGTCGTGGCCTCACTATGAAGAAAAAAAGTTGGCAGGACTTGCAGTAAGAAATATGAAGGTCCTCTATATACACAAGTTTGTATGATGCAAACCCGTGTGTGAACAAGTGATTAACACCTCTTGTGACATGTCCAGGTGACAGCTCTACCACCGAATCAGCCCAGTTCATTAAATTCAAGAGAGTTAAGAGATGAAAGATCAAAGTTTCTGTTTATGTTTTCTTGCCCTTTTGGGTGCTGGCGCAACCTAATGGTTAAAGCGTCTGCTGATCACACCAGAAATTCAGTGTCAGCGATTCCCCACATCAGTACAATGCGTGAAACCCACTCCCGGTGCACCTATAATGATATTGCTGGAATATTCCTATAAGCGGTGTAAAATCCAACTCACTCAATCACTCACTCTCTGATGATTCTCAAAAAGGTCACTTTTAAAATATTTGCCACATGTCATAAAAGCCTGCAGAGGTTCATGAGGTTGAAATAGGTTTGCTGTGTGTCCTTTTGCTGTTTGCATAGATTGTTGCAACATTCATTCACTCACTTGTTCACAAGCACAAGCACACACACACATGAATACACACACAGACACATAAATACACACTCACAGCAACCAACTCACTCATATCATCTGTTTCATGTCAGCTTCAGATAGCTTACCTGGGAAAGATGTGAGGGTGACTGTAGGATATGGCTCTAGATCGGCAAGAATTCCCATCGGCCTGATTCTGAAGGCGTAATCCCGTCCTGGAGTGAGACCTGTCACAAGGTGGGTATTGTCTTTCACATCACGGGCGAACGGACGCCAGTCCAGGCTTGGAACTTCCTGCATATCAACCTGGTACCTGACTGGTTCCATATCCTGGTCAGGAAGACTGAGTGGTCGCCATGACAACCGGACACTGTCAGGTTCAATTTCAGACATCTTGACTCCTTCTGTGATCGGTCTCATGGGAGCTGGAATTAATTCAAAGAAATCATGGAAAAATCCATTTAAAGACACATTTATTTATGTCTATGTTATTTCTACCTATTTATCATAAATTACCAACAAACCAAATTACACAGTGTCAAAAAAGTGCAGATAACATGAGTCTGATGTGTTTGAGTTCCATTTCTGACTGAGACCATTCAAACCAAACAGGAAGAAAAGCACCATCTGATGTACCCGTTTCTCTTAAAATATATGCAGGTATAGTAAATATACTGAGGGAAACAAATAAGGGAACACCACTTCATGGCAGTGTACCTTTATTTATTCTCAGAGCTATACAAAGCTGGTGATGAAAGCTGGAAAATATTAAAGGAACGCTTGAATTTTCCTGTGTTCCTATATTAGTTTCTCTCAGTATATGAATAACTGTGATCTGTTTCTGATGTCAAGAAGAAAACACATGTCATCAATGTAAAAATGTTTCGCTCATTACAGCATACTGATTTTAAGGGGCAAGTTAGGGAGTCAGTCTTATTTATGAGATCAGTTATCTACGGTAATGTAAGGTAAGTTGTGATAAGGTACTTTTAACATAAGGCAGTACAGCACCCAGACATCTGCCTCACCTATCGTCCTTGTCATGCTGGCTGGGTAGGAAGGAGGGCTGATTCCATACGGGGTAATTCCTCGGATCCTGAACCTGTAGTCCTGTGTGGGTTCGATGTCAGGCAGTCTGTAGGTGGTGTCAGGGATACCAGTGGCTAATGGTCTCCAGTCATCCACTCCAGGCTCTGAGCCTTCAATCATGTAGGTTAGATGATCTTCATCTGTTGCATAGGGTGGTACCTCCACTCGTCGCCATGACAACCTGACAGACTCATAGTCAGGCTCATAATCATCAATCTCCAAAGCATCAACAGGAACTCTGGATAGTGCTGTCAAAATATAATTGTTTCAAGTATGAATGTCATCAATCAATGCAAAGTTGACAGTAAAATATTTGTTTAATTATCATTTTGTTGAAAGATATTATTACTCTTTTCTGTTCAAATCTTACAAGACACATGAAGATCCGGGCTAGAATTGATCTTCAGTAACCCATGCTTGTTGTAAGAGGCTACTAATGAGATCGGGTGGTCATGCTCACTGACTTGGGTGACACATGTCATCGTATCGTATGTCATCAATCAGAATCTGAAAGATCTCAATCTTGTAAACAATTGGTCACAACATGTGACGGAAATGTACCGGTAACCAGTTAACAAATGAAACAGTATGGCTACTTCACAGGGAAAAATTTTTTCTCATTTTTCTCCTGAATGACAATTTGTCAGCAAACCATTTGACAAGAGAAAACTTGGCTGATTGATGCAGATGGCTTCAGAGAAGTGTCCGAGTGTGAATAATGTCTTTCATCTCCTTATGTGTCACCTTACCTAGAGTTCTGTACAGGGATGCAGCTGGACTGGGTTCTCCCAGGACTCCTTCAGGAGACTCTGATCTCACACGGAATCGGTAATCCTGTCCTGGAACCAGTCCATGGACGAGGTATGAGGTGCTCGGGATGTTTCCAGCTACTCGGTTCCACAAATTGCTGGGTGGCTCATTCTTCTCGATCATGTACCTCAGAGGTTCATCCTGACTTTCAAATGTTGGGATGTCAACACGGTTCCAGTTGAGTCTCACAGACTCCGGCTCCAACTCAGCAATCTGGGGACGGCTGATAGGTACACCAGGGAAAGCTGGAAGAACCAAAATAATGATAACTTAAGTAACACTGTCAAGACGAAAAAGATGAGATTTCAACTTGTACCTTGATCCGGATTATTTAAATGCTTGTAGATTGAAAGATAGATACATATAGAATTGTATCATAGTTTGTACTTACGGAAAATTGAGAAAAGATTCATTCCAGAAAGGTGTCATTTAGTCAAATGCATCAGACCAAAAAATTACTTTTGTAATTCTGTTGCACTAAGCTTAATATTTTCTTGAATGTGGAATGAGGACAAGAGAACCATATCATATTTTCATCATGATATTATCACATCATTTACTTTACAGGACCCACCTTTGGCTCTTGGCAGCCATATTGGTTCTGAAGGTTCACTGATGCCATACTTATTCTCTGCTCGGACACGGATATTGTAATCTCTGTCGGCAGCCAGATCAGACAAATAAGCACTTGGGTCCATGATTCGGCTCACTAGTGGTACCCAATCCTCTCTGGGCAGCTCCTGAGCTTCCAACCGATATGAAATTGGAGGTGCTTCAAATCGGTCAAGAGGCAAATGAGCTGGTTCCCATGCCAACCTGACAGTCTCAGCGCCAATGTCTGTGATGTAGGGTTTAGCAGAGGGCAGTCTGGGAGCACCTGAAATGTTATAAATGTCATATTAATTCAATTCCATCATATGATCAATAAAAACGACAACAGTTCACATGACATTCATATGTAGTCAGTTCATAAATATGCTTGAACAGATATTCAACAGGTGTCGTCACTATACTTCAGTTACATTTTAAAGCATGTACAGACATTAAACATTTCACAGAAATGTCCTGACAGTTTTCAAATTCCACATTCCATGACTGTCATATAATATATTGTCATCACAGATCACTCCCAGTATGGAAAGGACAAACACAGAAATTTCTCTTCCAAGGGTGAGGGAGTTTAGTTTTACGCCGCTTTTAGCAATATTCCAGCAATATCATGGCGGGGGACACCAGAAATGGGCTTCACACATTGTACCCATGTGGGGAAACAGACCCAGGTCGTCGGCGTGACAATCGAGCGCGTTTAACCACTAGGCTACCCCACCGTCTTTCTCTTCCAAGAGAAGGTGACATGCTGAGGTATCATATTTCCTACAATATGAATTTATAAGGTCTTCACAAATCAATTCATGCATGATCAAAATATGGATGTCTGGATGCTACTTACCTATAAACTCATCATATGGTTTAGGTTCACGCTTTGGAACTGGAAAATAGAACATAGGCTTGATAATGATTCAAACAATATTTGGAGACACATATTAAGACAGTACTGAATTTGTAAATTTGTACTTAAAATTTTGGAAATTCAGCCAAATAAACTAAAAAATATTAAACATAAAAATATCAAACATCAATTACATGTTGCTGCCAAATAACAATTATGTGTTTTATTCCCATATCCAAGTTTACTGTCATTCACTAGAGCGAGGTAATTATTGTTCTTATTTCCAAAGTACATTTCTCTCCTTATCAACACGTCATTCCTTACGTTCTCGTTTATCCAGCACAGCAGGAAGTGTGGGCTCACTGGATCCAAACTTGTTCTCTGCCCGAACTCTGAAGTTGTACTCTTTGTTGGGAGAGAGGTCTTTAGCATAGTGCTGGGTTCCATGGATGTCGGAGGCGATACGGGACCATCTCATACTGGGAAGCTCTCTGGCCTCAAGGATGTATGTGACCGGGCCTGAGGAGGTCGGGAGGTCACTGGTGTATGCTGGGAGCCAGCCCAACTTGACCCCATCTGGTTTGATATCCAGGAGAACTGGTTTGTCAAACGGTAGTGAGGGAACATTGTCTGGAAGAAAATAATTATGTATGTCAAATATGACAGTGGTATACTTTGGAGCCATCTTCAATGGCATGTATTAACCAACATTTATTAATGTCATACGCATGCAATATATGAAAAAAGACCATTTCTAGTGAGTGAGTGAGTGAATATTGTTCATTCGACTTAGTCTATGCCAGGCAAACCAGTGGTTGATACCATGAGCACCAACACATGTTACTTTGGTACAATGATTAGTCGGATGAAAGGTCAGTCTGACATGACCAATAAACAGATATTTATTTGGAGGTAGCAAGAACTAAGAAGAGATTTTAAGGAGAAAAATTATTTTTGTAAAATATTTGGGCATCTATAATAAGGTTGGAATGACACATTTAAATAACTGTTGACAAATTCTTCACATTTATTTCAAAACATAAACTTCATCATTTCCAATTAAATTAATTTCTTTACAGTTTCTGGAATACTTTTCATGTCAGTACTCTAATATCCTTTTGTGAAAAAATATGTATTTTTTAGCATAGGGATCTCCACAGATATATGTTATTGAGTAACATACATAGGCGCTCAGTGATATAATATCTTAGAACCTTCAATAGTATGTGTTAGAACATGTGAGCATTACACTCATGATAACTCTGTGGTTGGGGCCAAGGGAAAGGGAAGGGTCAAGAAGGAACTATATGGAGTCTTGAACTGACCTTCTGCCATTGCCTTGATAGAATAGGAAGGTGCATAATCAGGGAGAATCACTCTCTCGGGGGAGTATGCTTTCTCCTCTGAAAAAGACAAATAAAAGTGACAAAACCATTTCAATAATCACAAGGAAATTTTGCCAAAAACAGACTATATGATTTTGATTGTGTCAAAAGCATGTTTTTATAACTCACTATAAAACTGTGAGGAAACTAAGTGTTTGCAAAATGGTCAACATATCCTGTCCCATTGGTGGCACCCATAACTGTTCAACTACAAAGGCTGAGGAACACATGTAAGAAGTCAAAAAAAGAATTGACATTGGACCAAACACAAGGAACAGTCTATCATAATTACATGTGATAATCAAACGGTATCTTGGGAAATAACTTGAAAATTGTCCCACCTTTGACCTTCAGCCTTCCCATACTGGTTGCTTTGCCAGCCTCATTTGTGATGGTGCAGGTAAATTCTCCCATGTCATCCTTGTCCACATCATCAAGTGTCAGATAGTACGTGTTACCTTCCTTCCCAATGGAGTACTTGCCACCATCATTGACTGGATTCCCATCCTTTTTCCTGGGTTCCAAATCAGAAAATCATTAGGAAACTGAATAAACGGAGAGTATAGCATATATACAATGGATATTCATGCTCATGTCATAATATAAATGATATATAGAAACTGATTTAGAAATAAAAGATGGAATACATTTGTGCTGGGTATGTATATGTTTTAAAATGCTAATACCAAAATTTGATCAAAGCATGGTAGAGGGCACCAAAAATGGGCTTCACACACTGTACCCGTAGTAGGAATGAGTGACCCAATGACAAGCAACCCTACTGTCATTTCTTGTTGATATGCATTTGCCCCATGCTAAATCTTCAAAACTACAAACCATTCAACCTCTGGGTCTGGAACACCTATGATGCGGCACTCGAATCTTGCTGACCCGCCAGGAGGCTCAATAGTGTCTATGATTCTCTTGGTGAAGGATGGAGGGAACCCATAGGGTTTGGCCTTCTTTTCAGGAACTCTGTTCAAATTGAAATAGACACAATATATACCTGGTTCTACTATATTTCAGCATATGAAATTAGTAGGAAGAAATACAGGGTGAAAAAACACACACACAAAATTGTTGAAATTGACATTCACAATTGAACTCTGTTCAAATTGAAATAGACACAATATATACCTGGTTCTACTATATTTCAGCATATGAAATTAGTAGGAAGAAATACAGGGTGAAAAAACACACACACAAAATTGTTGAAATTGACATTCACATCATCATGGACCATGAAATGAAGGAACTATATCATTGAACTACAGTATCACATGTGCTCTGATAATGAAAATACAATTTGGGGGTATGCTAATTAATTTATTTACTTTACTTTCCATACTTTACTTTTCACATCATGAGAATGGATGTTTTCCAATGTAACTACACATTGTATTTGACCAGAGGAAGAAGCCATGACTTACTCTTTGAATATTGGTGGTGAAGCTTCCCTCCTCTTGGGTGCCAAGACTGTGAGCCAGGCCTGGCAAGAGACTTCTCCAGCAGTGTTCTTCGCCCGACAGGTGTACTCACCCTCGTTGGCTGGAATCACATCCTTCAGCACCAGTGTGTACGTATCACCCGACTGCATGATATCACGGCGCTTTGACTCCTGAAACAAGAATCACATGTTTCCACTATGTTCACTGATTATACAGTTTGTACATGTGAAAGTATAGAAAACATATAACCAATTAAATTCTAAACCATTATAAATGTAGTGATATAAATAATGCAGCAAAGACATTCAGAAAGAAAAAGTCAAAACATTCTTTGTTGAGTATAACTTACAAAGAGTTCTCTGCCCTTGAAGTACCAGGTGACTTCTGGAGCAGGATCACCCATGACAATTGCCTCGAATGTTGCTTCTTCTGATTCTCTGATATCTGCATCTCTCGGTCTCTCGACAAACTCAGGTTTCGTTCCACGTTTCTTCGGGTCTTCTTTGACATTTAACCAAGCACGACATTTAGCCTCTCCAGCGATGTTCCTGAGTCTGCAAGTTATCTCCCCTGAATGGTAGGTCTGAGCCAATCGGAAAGCAAGGGATGCCTGTCTGCCATCATTGGTCATCGTGGCATCAAAGTTGAGATCTGTTTTGACAACCTTGCCATCAATCAACCAGGCAACCTCAGGTTCAGGCTTGCCTTCATACATGCACGTGAAGTCAATAGGCACCCCCTCCAAGCAGTCTAGGTCATAGAACTTGGTGGTGAAACGTGGAGCCATCATTTCTTCTTCAAGCTTTGCCTTAAGGGCTGCAAAAACAAGCAAATATTATCACAATTTTCAGTCATTATCATAGAAACATCTGTCAGCATGTTTGTCTACTGTATTGACCTTATTCTTAAAGTAGCCATGTCAGACCATCCAATTTATTTGGTTGCCTCTTATTGTCAGCTCTTTTGCTGGGGACCTATTCTAGCTCAGAATTCCCCTATCAGAAACATGTTTATTTTTCAAAAACAATCATTTTATTTATTTAAGTTGAATACTGAACATTCAGTTTTAAAATATCTTGATTTGAAACCACAAGTACCACCCATACTTTCCAATGACCTTGATCAAGGTCTCTGTGGAGGCCTCCTGTTCTTACAAATGACATTGAGCAGCAAGACCTCATAGTGGTACCCTTCCTATACTTCTCAAATGCATTGAGCAAAACCCCTACTGGTCTCAAAGACCTTGTGCAAGACACACTAGTGGTATCTTCCAATACTTCCTGAAGACCTTGAGCAGAAATACCCCATAGTGGTACCCTTCCTATACTTCTCAAAGACATTGAGCAAGACACACTAGTTGTATCTTCTAATACTTCCTGAAGACCTTGAGCAGAAATACCCCATAGTGGTACCCTTCCTATACTTCTCAAAGACATTGAGCAAGACACACTAGTTGTATCTTCTAATACTTCCTGAAGACCTTGAGCAGAAATACCCCATAGTGGTACCCTTCCTATACTTCTCAAAGACATTGAGCAAGACACACTAGTTGTATCTTCTAATACTTCCTGAAGACCTTGAGCAGAAATACCCCATAGTGGTACCCTCCTGTATGTCCAAAGACATTGAGCAAGACACACTAGTTGTATCTTCTACCCCATAGTGGTACCCTCCTTCCTTCAAAGACATTGAGCAAGACACACTAGTTGTATCTTCTAATACTTCCTGAAGACCTTGAGCAGAAATACCCCATAGTGGTACCCTTCCTATACTTCCAAAGACATTGAGCAAGACACACTAGTTGTATCTTCTAATACTTCCTGAAGACCTTGAGCAGAAATACCCCATAGTGGTACCCTTCCTATACTTCCCAAAGACATTGAGCAAGACACACTAGTGGTATCTTCTAATACTTCCTGAAGACCTTGAGCAACAATACCCCATAATGGTACCCTCCTGTACGTCCAAAGACATGAGACCTTGAGCAACAATACCCCATAATGGTACCCTCCTGTACGTCCAAAAGACCCATGAAGATCCGGGTTAGAATTGGTCTTCAGCAACCCATGCTAGCCATGAGAGGCGACTAATGGGATCAGGAGGTCAGGGTCATTGACTCAGCCCGTCATTACATCCCAATTGGGTAGATCGATGCTCATGCAGTTGATCACTGGATTGTCTGGTCTAGACTTGAATATTTACAGACTGACGCCATATAGCTGGAATATTGCGGAGCGTGGCGTTAAACAACAAACCAACCAACCAATCCTAAAGACATTGAGCAGGACCCCATAGTGGTACCCTCCTATACTTCCTAAAGATATTCAGCAAGACCCTAAAGTGGTACCCTCCTATACTTCCTAAAGATATTCAGCAAGACCCCTAAGTGGTACCCTCCTATACTTCCTAAAGATATTCAGCAAGACCCCAAAGTGGTACCCTCCTATACTTCCTAAAGATATTCAGCAAGACCCCAAGTGGTACCCTCCTATAGATATTCAGCAAGACCCCTAAGTACCCCTATCTTCTAAAGATATTCAGCAAGACCCCAAAGTGGTACTTCCTATAGATATTCAGCAAGACCCCAAAGTGGTACCCTTCCTATACTTCCTAAAGATATTCAGCAAAACCCCAAAGTGGTACCCTTCCTATACTTCCTAAAGATATTCAGCAAAACCCCAAAGTGGTACCCTTCCTATACTTCCTAAAGATATTCAGCAAGACCCCAAAGTGGTACCCTCCTGTACTTCCAAAGACACCGGGCAAGACACACTAGTGGTACCCTCCTTTGCTTCCTAATCATATTGAGCAAGGCCCCAAAGGGGTACCCTCCTGTACTTCCTAAAGACATCGGGAAAGGCCACTTAGGTACCCTGCCATACTCACCAATGACATTGAGCAAGGCCTCAGTGATGGCTTCACCATACTCGTTCTTAGCCACACACTGGTATCTGCCGCTATCTGCCACCTTGACATTCTTTATGAGGAGAGAGAAGATGTCATCATTGGTGTTGATCAGCTTAAACTTGTCATTCTCCTTCACAACCTTCCCATCCTTCTTCCTGGAGAAAAGAAATCAGAAAGATGAAAAACAACTGAAACAGTTCTTTCAACAAGATCAAGGATGTATACAAATAGCGACTGCAGAATTTTAAGATATTATGTAACAAATACATTTTCAACAATGATTCATCAGCTAACTGTAATGAAGTCAGAATACAGCGAAACATCATCTTTAATGAAACTAATATGATGCCCCAGCTATGGAATATTCATGAATTGTGATGTTTTGTTTTTATTGCCTTCAACTCTGGACATTCCCAAACTAGCATACATTACTACAAGAACGTACCATGTAATTTCTGGATCAGGGTAAGCACACACACGGCAGTCAAAACGGGCAAGATGCCCAGCTTCTATTTTCATGTCCTTCATATCTTCTTTAATAACTGGAGCACTGCCTTTAGGAACTGTTTCTTCCTTCTTTTCTTTAGCCTCTGAGACAGGCTCCAAAGGCTCCGCTGCCTTGGTTGGTTCTGGTTCTGATACAGGTTCAGTCAAAGGTTCAGAAGTGAATTCAGTCTCTTTGACAGATTCTGCTGTAGGCTCCTTTTCTGTTTTAGACTTTTGACCTAGTTGCGGAGCAGGTTCCTGTACATGATCTGGTGTAGGTTCCTTTAATAGCTCAGGTTCCTTTACTGGCTCTGGAGAAGGCTCCTTTACTGGTTCTCGAACTGCTTCCTTTACTGGTGTAGGTTCTTTTACTGGTACAGGCTCTTTAACTGTTTCCGGAGAGGGTTCCTTTACTGGCTCTGGTGTAGGTTCCTTTACTGGTTCTGGTGTTCGTTCCTTTACTGGCTCTGGTGTAGGTTCCTTTACTGGTTCTGGTGTTCGTTCCTTTACAGGCTCAGGCTCTTTAACTGGGGCAGGTTCTTTTAAAGGTTCTGGTGTAGGTTCCTTTACAGGTTCAGGTGTAGGTTCCTTTACTGGTTCAGGTGTAGGTTCAGGTGTAGGTTCCTTTACTGGTTCAGGTGTAGGTTCCTTTACTGGTGTGTAGGTTCCTTTACTGGTTCTGGTGTAGGTTCCTTTACTGGTTCAGGTGTAGGTTCCTTTACAGGTTCTGGTGTAGGTTCCTTTACTGGTTCAGGTGTAGGTTCCTTTACTGGTTCTGGTGTAGGTTCCTTTACTGGTTCTGGTGTAGGTTCCTTTACTGGTTCAGGTGTAGATTCCTTTACTGGTTCAGGTGTAGGTTCCTTTACAGGTTCTGGTGTAGGTTCCTTTACTGGTTCAGGTGTAGGTTCCTTTACTGGTTCAGGTGTAGGTTCCTTTACTGGTTCAGGTGTAGGTTCCTTTACTGGTTCTGGTGTAGGTTCCTTTACTGGTTCAGGTGTAGGTTCCTTTACTGGTTCAGGTGTAGGTTCCTTTACTGGTTCACCTTTACTGGTTCAGGTGTAGATTCCTTTACTGGTTCAGGTGTAGGTTCCTTTACAGGTTCTGGTGTAGGTTCCTTTACTGGTTCAGGTGTAGGTTCCTTTACAGGTTCTGGTGTAGGTTGCTTTACTGGTTCAGGTGTAGGTTCTTTTACAGGTTCAGGCTCTTTAACTGGCTCAGGTTCTTTTAAAGGTTCTGGTGTAGGTTCCTTTACAGGTTTGGGTGTTGGTTCTTTAACTGGATCTGGCTCTTCTACCTCCTGCTGACCGTTCTCCTGTGGCTCTGGTGATACTGTCTTAGATGGTGGTTCTGATACGGCCTCGTGATCCTGGATTTCTGCAATATCACAGTTCTTATATGGTCATACATAGTTGGGTTTTTTAATGATGTTTTTGAACAGAATTATGAGGGCCAAAATATATATCCATCCAACTCTTTTTTTGCCTACTTGTGCTTTCAACTGAAGCACAGACATATTGTTCCTCATTGCAAGTTTCATATAACATCTGCATTGAATGGAGTTAGTAAAAATCAGTTACACATGTAGAATATTCCATGGTTGTACAAGTAAAATCAAAAGATTTTTGTTACCCAAGAAGGAACATAACACAGCAAAAATGACAAGCCTACCTTCTAATACAACAAGTTCTGTTGTGCTGACTATAGAACCATTGACATTGGTTGCCTTGGCTGTGTACTGTCCAGCCTCTGTTTTCTTCACCTCCCGAAATACGAGGGCACAATTGTCTCCCTCGACAACACACTTGCGGGTGGCAGTCTCCTCAACTTCTACGTTGTTGGTCAGCCAAGTGAGTGAGGGTAGTGGGTTTCCACCAACAACACAATCTAGCTTTGCTGTAGACCCCTCTGTAATGAGAAGAAAACTATTTTACAACCGAGCTTCACTTCAAAAACTATAGTTTGTTCCTTTAAACTGTTATTACATATGTGGCAACAGTGTGCGAAATAGTTTCCAAATTTGGCTAGCCAATCGGGCTAGCTATGCCTGGAGTTACTAGCCCACAAAATAATTCACTAGCCAGAAATTTGAATGTAGAAACTTAGCAAAAGATTAGAAAAATAGATGAGAATAAGATATTGTCGGCATGACACGGGTTTCTTTATTAAGCTGCTAACATGATGAACATTTTTATCAGGCCATAATGTTGCATGATTTAAAAGTGTATTATAACTTAACAAGTCAGAGAAAGTGGTATATTTACAAAATGACACCATGACAATTCACTAATCAGTCTGGCCAGTGACTGTGGAGATTTACAGGCCCCACTGGATTTTTACTTGCCACAGGCTAGCAGGCCTGTGGCTATTTTGCACACTACTTGGCAACTTCATCTCTTCACACATGCAGCATAGGGTCCATGGAACCATAAAATTATAACTTGTTCAATAATAGTTACTTAGTATGTTTTATGTGATTTAAAAACATTAAGTTTATCACAGTTATTAACACCTAGAACTGACACATTTCGCTTATGGTGGGAATCAAACCTTTCATTGTGCCAAGGCAATGCTATAACCACTAGGCTAACCATTGTCCAACAGATTTTAACTTTTACCGTTAGACCTCACAGATATCAGAATGCATAAAGACATATGAGTCTGGGAGAAAGGCTTTGAAACGGTTCCATTGTTTCCATTTCGATACTGTTTTAAGGTTTCAGCATTAACTGCAGGTGACAAATGTGTGGTGCAAAGTGACTGTAGCTAAAATAATTTTCTGAAGAGATTCCTACCAACACTCTTTTACCTTTGTTTCTTATAATCCAGCTTGAACAAAACACCTTTGGTTGTTTAGTTTTCTAGTTCCTTAGCTTTTTGCTATATTCATCTTTAGGGTGAATTGAAATACCAAGTGTTTTAATCAAATAAATCCTTTCAGTTTGATAAGTTGCCAAATCTGAAGCATGATCTCTTATGATAGAGACTGATGTTGTTTTTTTAAAAGAAAACAGCTCAGTGTGATATTAGTACAAACCAAGCCTAACAGTAAACTATAGGTGTGGACACTCTGTGCACCATCTGAACTGAAATACCTGGTAAATACATCAATACATAGATAATACAGCACAACAGGTCTTACCTCATAACCACTAGGACTAGCCCTTGATAAAGGATAACTTGTGCCCATCACTTCATAGGGTGAGGTAAAACAATTATTCAAGCAATGGCTCCTAGGTAATTATGATGTAATGCCTCAGGAATCTGATGCAGTGTTTTCATCATACACTGTATCTGGTAATTCCACTTTTATCCTAGCCAAAGTTTCTTGGGAACTTGCCAAATCTTATCAGCCAACAAAAAATGGTAGAACAACTTAACCCTTCGCCCTAAGAAGACTCGAGTCAAAACTGATTCTAACATCAACCTTATTTTGATGATTTAAAAACAACCATCTTGAAATCACTTTCTGTTAAACAGAATTTATTTCTAGAAATTGCAGTAACTGATATGTCCCTAACCACTGACTAGAAAAAGGAGAAAAAACCTGACTGTTCCACTGAGTGCTGCTTCTGTGAAACTGCTTATAGTCAAGACTGTTACCGATAATCTCAGAGCTGGAACTGCATTTGATAACAGCCATCAAGCTCTCCAGCAGCTGAACAGAGATTCAAAAACTTGACTACACCCACCAAGATTCCAGCTCGGGGCTTCCAGTTCTTCCAGTGTTTTGCAAAACCAACATACTGTAACACATGTCTGATTTGCAGAGCGTATGTTCTGATCAGTTGGTAATGAGTCCGTGGTGATGGACTTGATGAGATGCCAGTTATGTAGGGAAAGCACTCATGACACAGTCATCCATTACAGTGAGCTGATCACAAAATATCACTACCAGTAGAGTACCCACAATGTATTATATGCCAGACTGTCATAATGGTTAGTGTTACCAATGCTGTTACTTAGCCCAGCAGACATGGTATCACAATATGATGTATATGAAAATCAGGTTACCATGCAGGAACTACACTAGACTAACGCTTAGTCTCTGAATATATATAATTTAGATTATCAGTAACAAACAAGCCCATTCAAATTGAAAAGGAGCCCCAGGGAGACCAGATATTCAGACCTGAGGAAATCTAGATTTGCTTCATTAAGGGCTTTAGCATTGCAGGGAAGGCTATAGGCACAAGGGGAAATAATGTGGTTCAGGGACTGTGAGACATATGCTTCCTACAATGTGTTGCCCGCAGTGTTCCCAGTTAATCTACATAGGGTCTGTCTGTCTGTCTGTCTGTCTGTCTGTCTGCATGGGGTCTGTCTGTCTGTCTGTCTGTCTGGGGTCTGTCTGTCTGTCTGTCTGTCTGTATAGGGTCTGTCTGTCTGTCTGCATAGGGTCTGTCTGTCTGTCTGCATAGGGTCTGTCTGTCTGTCTGTCTGTCTGCATCTGTCTGTCTGCTATTATCACATACCAGTGGCTATTCATCTCTATATTTATTTTATAATATGCCAAATGATTTCAGGGTTGCAAATACTCAAAGACAAGAGATACTTCATGGCTACTATGTAACCCAAACACACACTATTTAGTATAAATTAGGAAAATCTTATTTGTAAGTAATTTTCATTGCAATCTCTTTGCATGTGTACCATAACAGCTGTGAGATGGACATGCAATCATATACTGTTTCTGTGAAAACTGAAATATCTGCTTTGATGAACCCACAATCAGCAAAATCAATCATCATTTCTGTCTGATGAGCATCAAATAAATAATGAATATATTTTGTTGCATTTGTGACTTGAGAAAATTCACATGCTTGCAAAGTAAAAAGCTAAATTGTTACACAGGTAATTAAATTCCAATATTCAGACACCTTGATAGTGCCAACATGTAAATGATACATGTTATATGGGAAGTGCTCTTGTACAAAAAGTTCCATGTGTTGCCAGATTCTGGTAAACCACTCCATTAATACCACCAAGGTGAACTTCATGACAAACTTTAAAGAAATGTCTGACAATTTGCCAGAGAATTCAACACCTTGGCAAGATGGTCTCTATCATGAGACCTGCCGTTCTGAAACACACTTGAATCATATGGTGCACATCCATCCACCAGTTGAATGTCACCTTGTGAATCAAGGAAGTTCAGTCTACTTAGAATTTCTCACTTGAAATAACAGCTTCAAAGCACCATAAACATGTAAAAGGCTATATCCAGTGGTTAATGATTATCATTAATAGTAGTTATACAAAGGCAGTGGTGAATCCCAGGGTGCCATGGAATGTGACACACTGACCCCTCATATCTCAATATCCCACATATTTGATATATACTGAGGTAAAGAATTAAGGGAACACGTGAAAGCACAAGTGTTCCTTTATTCTTTTCCAGGTTTCTTCACATGCTTTGTATCGCACTGTGGGTGAAAATCTGAGAATAAATAGAGAAACACTGCGATGAAGTGGTGTTCCCTTATTTGTTTCCCCCCGGTATATTAATGAAAGCAACAAAAATGTTTCCTTAATCACAAGAAAATCACTGCTAAAAGCAGAGTCCAGTGTATGATTCAGACCATATCGCGAGCATATTGACCACTATTGAAAAGCAATGTTTCCAAAATATGAGGTACCCTACCAGTGGCACCCATCACAAACACATGCAAGGGAAAGTCAAGTGTTCCCTTGAACAAACACAGGAACTTATGGCATAAGACAAAGTAAGGAACCAAATAGGCAAGGGGAAAACCCTTTTGTACAAAATGCTTCTATACACTCAAACTGTGACCCCAAACCACAATACATATATAAACAGACTGAAGTGAAGAATTTCAAATTCCTTTGTTCTAGACAGTGCTGGATCTGACAAAATTATGTGGCATTCTGAGTGAGTGAGTATGGTTTTACACCACTTTTATCAATATTCCAGCAATATCATGGAGGGACACCAGAAATGAGCTTCACACATTGTACCCATGTGAGGAATCGAACCCGGGCCTTCGGCAAGATGAGCGAACACTTTAACCACTAGGCTACCACACCGCCTCTGTGGCATTCTGAACATGACAAGGTAAAACTACCTTGTTCTTATCAAAGTATTGGTATGCTGCTGGGTAAATCTCTGATGGAACATGTGATAACACACATATCTCACCCTCAGCACCACACTGACACAAGATGTCAAGCTTCTGGAGGTATCTGATACACACGTCATCTTTGAATGCCTCACATTGATTCTCAGGTCACAGCGAACATGTCTTATCACAAGTCATTGTAACAAGTAACTGCATTTAAGGATAACCACCTATCTGTTTTCAGAGCATTGAACTTTTTCTGAGATAAGCATTTTTAAATCCAGACGTCTTTATCAAACTTTCCAAATGAAAATGGAAAGGTGTATGAGTGCATCCTATTTAAAAGATGAGTACTGCCTAACACACACACAAAACAATTCACATTATGTTTCATAAATAACACCTTATCTTTGACAATCTATTATTTTTCCTGTGCATTTCTTCATTTCCATGAGTTGACTTAAAACATGTCATAAATATCTCTCGATACACTACAAGCTGCTCAGTGGAAACACCTACATATCTGTAGACATCCTTGAGTAGGTTAGTCAGGTTTTATGCCACTTTTAGTAATATTCCATTAATATCCTGGTGGGGCACACCAGAAACAGGATTCGCACAGTTTACCCTAGTCTGTCTCCCAGTCCCTGAACCACGTTATTTTCCCTACAGCCTAGCCCTCCCTGCAATGCTAAAGCCTTAAATGAAGCAAGTCTAGATTTCCCCAGGTTCATGAATCTCCCAATTCAATCCAGACTTGCTTCAGTTAGGGCTTTAGCACTGCAGAGAGGGCTTGGCAGTAGGGAAAATAATGTCGTTCAGGGACTG